TACTCACCTATGTCATTGTAGTGTGGACTTAACAAGCACTTTGCTTTCCTGTTGACACACTTCTCTGTTCCTTGGGAGATTGGAGAGGGGGCAGTGATACTTTTGCCATCCTCAGCAATGTCAGGGGCCCTAAAGGTCTAGAAGCAGAAGCCCTAGTCCCTCCTGTTGAATAGTGTGCTCTAAGGAGGTAGAAGGCCAACTTTGTTTTGCCCATATGTATACCTCTTCTTGTTTTTCCCATTCTTCTTATGCCTCCCTGACTGACTGTCTTTTTCAGTGGCCCCCTTCTGCTTGCCCACACATGTAGGCGGCTCTCAAAAGTTCTCATGGCCTCTTTTTTCACGTTACATGCTTCCTCCGGATGTCTTATCTAACAATACAACGTGGACTTTCTGTGGAAATGATTCCCAAGCCTTTGTTTTCCCATTAGTGCTAGGTGTACATTTTCAGATGCTGGTTTGCCATCTCTCAAGGTAGCATATTTCAAAGCCAGATCACCCCGCTTACTCTTGGATCTCCCCTCTTACTCTTGTTGAGAGTCGGAAGCAGAGAATGTGTAGCATCTCTGTACCCCTTTTCCTTTCCGAATTTGCCCTTTTTTGGAACATTTGTTAACGTTAGTCATTCTCTGCAAAGGCAGAGCTTGAATAGAGCTACTTAACGAGAATTTAGTGCATACCTATCCTATGTAAGCCAGTGTGTTGAGCCCTTCTTAGGGCTGCCAAAGAAATGGATGCTCCTCTGCCCAGGCGCAGTCAGGGGACTTGGGAGATACTATGCTTGGTTGGGATGGAATAAGTGGAATGCCAGCTGCCTTGCATAATGCAATGGTGTTCATGGTGGTTGGTCCGCCCACACTGTATCAAGCTCTGCAGATTTTTACTCTGTTAATGCAGATATTACCTCATTAGCCTTGGCCTGCCTGGGGAGTTGTGTGTAACATGTATTTTCTCTCTCATAGTGATTGACGATACAACCAAAGAGGTGGTGTATAGGGATTATATTGACATCAGTGTTGCAGTGGCCACCCCACGGGTATGTTGGGGCAGGAGATGGGGAACGCTGGTCTTAGACCCTCACCTTATCTGTGTGAAGAAGGAGATCAGACAAGAGAAATCATTTCTTTAATTCTGTGTTTTTAGGAAGGAGTTAGTAACTTTTTTTCTTTTAAACCATGCCACATTCTTTTATCTTAAGACTTTCTGTTAATCACATTGAGTAATGAAGGTATTCTAGGGAGGGGATACCACTGGTTGAATCAAGGGAGTTGTAACTATAAAAGGTAATGTTAATTTGCAACTGAAAACAGCTCTTCACCCTCTTCAGGGTCTGGTGGTTCCAGTCATCAGGAATGTGGAAGCTATGAATTATGCAGATATTGAACGGACCATCACTGAACTGGGAGAGAAGGTAAAGTAGAAAGATGTATACAAGCTGCTGAGCAGGTGAGGGAAAAGAGCCTTCGGAAGGCTGGGCTCGCCAGCGAGCAGTGCTCATGGAACGTCAAGTGCATAGCCCCTGAGAAAAGCAGTGGCCCATGAGAGCTAAGTATTTCATCTATCTGGTGGAGTTCACCGCGCTCTGGTAACTGAAATCTCATCAGATGAGACCTGCTAGAAAAGATGATCTTTGAAGTCTTCAGCTCTATGAAGTTGTGCCTTTTCTCTGGTGGAGCCCTGGTCATAGACACCTCAGCCCGACAACTGTCACACGGAGGCTGGCGCTTGTGCCATCAATCTCATGATACAAGCTTTCTGGACTTCCTTTGCTTTTTTGTTTTTAGAGGCAGGGTCTCGCTGTGTTGCCCAGGCTGGAGTAGAGTGGTAGAGTCATAGCTTACTGCAGCCTTGCACTCCTGGGCTCAAGCGATTCTCCTGCCCCAGCTGCCTAAGTAGCTGGGACTACAGGTGTGCACCACCATGCCTAGCTAATAAAGTTTTTTGTAGAGGTGGGGTCTCACTGTGTTGCCCAGGTTGACCTTGAACTGGCCTCAAGCAGTTCTCCTGCCTCAGCCTCGCAAAGTGCTGGGATTATGTACTGACTTTAGATGAAGGAAGCTGGGTTGGCTTAATATTTCAATGACGAAATCTGTTTTTAGGCCCGAAAGAATGAACTTGCCATTGAAGATATGGATGGCGGTACCTTCACCATTAGCAATGGAGGCGTTTTTGGCTCGCTCTTTGGAACACCCATTATCAACCCCCCTCAGTCTGCCATCCTGGGGATGCATGGCATCTTTGACAGGCCAGTGGCTGTAGGAGGCAAGGTAGGAACTCACTTCTAAGGTCCTAGTGGCTAGGTCTTGATGAAGGGGAGATCCAACTAAATGCTAATTGCAAAACATTAACTATAATTCTAGGCCTAAGTTCCATTTCTTAGTTTCTAATAGCTAAGGCACTGATTATCAAGTTGTGGTCTGGATCAGCATCATCTGGGACCTTGTTAGAGATGCATATTCTTAGACCCCATCCCAGACTTAAAGAAGAAGTGCAGATGATCCTGATGCATATTCAAGTTTGAGAACCACTGAGCTGAGAAGGCTTGTTTGCTTCTGTGGAGTGGGGGATATAGTTGGAGACATGTTCCCTTGCCCCTGGGAAACAGATGACATTTATGCATGTCAGTCTACGAGCTGGCAAGTTGTATGATAAAGCTTGGAAGTTTCCCAGGAGTTCAGAGAATTAAGTATTAAAGGGGCTTGAGCTGGCCCTTAGAAGATACGTTGATATCAGAAGCTTTCTGGGAACTCCTGTGTTTAGAATCTTTTTGGGTTACTGACTCCTGTGTGAAACCAAAATCCGTAGATCTTCCTGGAAAATGCCCACACACCCAACTACACATACAATTCCAGAATTTGTAGACCCCAGCTTAATTTTTTTTTTTTTTTAATTCTAACGCCAGAGAAACAAGTACAGGCAGCCAGAACTGAAGGGAAGACTTTCCTCGTAGGCAGCAGATGCATTAGAGGGCAGAGTATGTTTTTAAAAAATAAAAGACAGTTGTGAGAGGAGTTTTCTTGGCAAACTTTGTTTCTGAGTGGGGAAGCTTTGCACTGAGGGTGAGGCCTGGTCTTTGAAAATATTGTAAATATGCAGAGGCAACATCAATAGGAAAGGCTCTGGAAATAGGAACTTTCTTATGGGCCATGCTAAATCTCCTCCTTCAGCAAGGCTGGCTGTGGCTTGCTGGGGACAAACCTCTTGACCTTTCCTCTCTGTAGGTGGAGGTGCGGCCCATGATGTATGTGGCACTGACCTATGACCACCGGCTGATTGACGGCAGAGAGGCTGTGACTTTCCTCCGCAAAATCAAGGCAGCGGTAGAGGATCCCAGAGTCCTCCTCCTGGATCTTTAGGAGGAACCCACACACCCTATAAATTGATCATGCAGGAACTGAAAATCAGTCTTCTCCCTGTCCCGTCATGGGTCCCGGGTTAGCCTGGTGACAGGCAGGCACATGCTGTTGGCCTCAAGCAAGGAAGCAGAGCACTATGTAACCAGCAGTCACAGGTCTTTTCTTGGTGTTCCTGCCAGGCTCTCTCCCTCTCTGCACCTGTCTCATACCCTCGAATATCTTAATTCCTTAGGCTTGAGAGAGAGAGCCTTAATGGATGCTCATCCATATTCCTGCCTTTCTTCCATCAACCCTCCGCAGAGATGATTTTGCTTCTCCCTAGTGCTGGTATACTATAGAGAAACCCCCGGGGACCATGTTATTAAGTTCCTATCTTTTGAAAGTTTGTTCTGCAGAGATGTTTAGGAGGATGCTGTGCCTCCCAAGCTCAGAGCAGCCTCTGTCCTGGCTGTGCACATTCTCCCTTGATTCCACTTGTGTGGAGGGATTGAACACAGGCAAAGAGGTGCTGCTTTGCTTCTTCAGTGGCACCTTCATTCTCTGTTGTCATTGACTTCAAGATGCCTCTTCTACCTCTTCCAGGAAGCACAGGCCAGGGGATCTGGGTGTGTGAGTGGGAGGAGAGGGCAGAGGTCCCCTGAGGTCACGTGTTGTAATCACCATAGGAGAGCCCGGGCCGACGCTCTCCATCATAGGCTTACACCAGGAAGACTCGTCTTGGCACAATCTCACACAGCTGGGGCTGTAGCAACCCTTTCCAAACCCTTTCCTGGTTGCTGGGCCTCATTCTAGCACCTTGTTCTTACTTAGAGCAGATTCTAGCACATCATGGCAGTGGGACCGAGCGTGGTCCCGAGGAAGGGCCGGAGCCTGGTAGAGACTAGGGAAGGGAGGTCTCCTCTAGACTGACTCAGATTGACTTGAGCTTTTCAATTAAGTTGCTGTAAGCACGTGGGCTGAGGAGGCAGTTCTTATTCCTTCCTGCGTTATAGTGGGGCCTTGTCTCTTCCTCTGCAGGACACAGATCTGGAGGACATGGACTGGGGTAGGAAACCACCCTGAGGGTGTTAGTACATAGTAGTGAAATGGATGAGGTCATTTCTAAGGTGTGTTGCCCTTGGATCTGGGCACAATCATTGGAATTCCTTGGAGCATGGTTAAATGCGAATGAAAGCTACTGGGATTCATGGCTTTGTATCCAACCGCATCCAGGCCTGAGGCTGCTGACATTTGACACCAGGGCCAGTAGAGAGTGCCCTTTTGTATCTTGAGCCAAGAAGTGAGGCCTGGGGGTGGGGGAGGGGGGAAGGGGTGGGAGCCAATACTGAGTGCCTGCAGCATCTACTACTCTGTCTTCACTATTCAGAACTTGTAACTAAAGTATTTAAAGAAACTGATTTTAAATGCAAATTAAAGGGCAGATGTTCTCAAACAGGGTTCCTGTATCTGTGTTCCTTTTGGCTACCGAGGTGGTACAAGTCCCCAGTACTGTTGCACTGACATCATTGAAAACCACTTAAGGTCCTGTTGCTTACCTTGTGGAATCAGAAATCCCTTATGTGGAAGTTAACACTGTCCTAATTTGACAGAAGGTAGAATCCTGACTGCCAGCCAGGAAAGTGTTGCCAAAAAGAGTCAACCTCTGTAAAATATTTGAAGAGATTTATTCTGAGCCAAATGTGAGTGACTGATGGTCTGTGACACCACCTTTAGGAGATCCTGAGAACATGTGTTCAAGGTGGTCTGGCTCCAACTTAGTTTTACACATTTAATACATTTTAGTGAGACATAAGACACCAGTCAAATACATGTAAGATGTACAGTGGTTTGGTCTGTAGAGGGAGGACAGCTCAAGACCTAGGGGTGTTGTCATAGGCAGAATCAAAGATTTTCTGATTGGCAATTTATTGAAAGAGTTACTATCTAAAGACCTGGAATCAATAGAAAGTAATGTCTGGGTTACAGTAAGTTGTGGAGACCAAGGTTTTACGCAGATGAAGCCTCCAGCCAGCAGGCTTCAGAGAAAATAGATTGTAAATGCTTCTCATCAGACTTAAGGAGCCTGTTTTAGGGTGTCATGAGGCATGGCTGGCTCCTTCTTCCCACCATGGCCCGAACTAGCTTTTCAGGTTAACTTTGGAATGCCCTTGACTGAGAGGAGGGGTCCATGCAGATGGTTGGGCTTAGGATTTTATTTTTTTTTAAGTTTTCAAAAGCATCATAGTCTCTTAGTGCCCCAGCTTCCTTGAGCCCGTCAGGCCATACTCTAGAGAATTTGGGGTCACCATCTTTATGAAGCCCTTTCAAAACACCAGTAGACTTGCATTTTTTGTGGGGGCTTACATTATTTCAGTGATGGATTTGGGAGGGGTGGGAGCATCTCATTTCGTTTGGATTTGATTACCTCATGTACCAAGATGCTCAAGGTCAATACACATGAACAGGTGAGAGTTGATGACCACCTAGGAGCAGTGGTCAGTGAGGGTGAGTATACAGGGTTGGTAGCTAACCTAGACTGCAGGTGGCAGGTGTGATAGATTCCAGGCTTAAACACAGCCTTGCCTTTCCACAGTCCCTGTCTGCTGAGCTCTCTTGCAGTGAGGCCATCCCTCTGTGAAGGTCTCACGGGAGGGAAGTGGGTCCCAGAGGGTAGAACTAGAGCTCTAGTAGATAGAAAAACAAATTAGGTTGAATGAAAGGAAGAACAGGACTTGGTGTTAGAAGCTTTAATTTGTCTGGTAAACCTGCAAAACAGGCATTGCTTGCTCCATTCTATCGAAAGGAGGTCGACTGTAAGAGCTGGGACCCACAGTATTCTAAACTCAGGGCCCAACAAGGTACCAGACATGTAGCGTTGGGTGGATGAAGCACAGAAGTTCCAGAAGTGACTTGTGTTTCATGAAGCAGTGGTTGGAAGTGGTCCAGCCTGACTTAGGGAGAGTAGCAGAAGGAACACTAACTTGCAACTCTGGCTAGGTGTCCTTAACCTCTTTGAGCTTCAGTTTTCTCAGGAGCTGCCTTCTGTTGCAAGGGGTCACTGTGAGGATGCAACTGGCATTCCCCCAGGCACCATGAGCCTCTTCCAAGGCTGCTTCATCCTCTTCCCCACAGAGCCTAGTCCTCCTCCTGACCTCACCACTTCCCCTGAGGCCCAGGGCACAGGTGGCATGCTGCTCACCACCAGCCCTGCATCCTACTTCCTGGCAGCCCCCAAGCTCACTCTTGACTTCACTCTGGAGCGTCTATGGGGGAGCCTTCCAAACTGCCCCAGTGAGCCGCGGTCATTGCATGGAAGAAGCAAGAACACCATAGACTAGAGCAGGCTTTATTGGGGCTAGGTAAACCCCAGGGAGAGGCAGGATGTGAACCGCGGAGAGTCATACACAGGCTGCGCTTTCGCTTGTCCTCTCTGTCTCAGTCTCCTGAAGAGCCCGAGGAAGTCAGGTCTCCCCATCATGAGTGACAGGAGTCTGGCCTGACAGAATTGGGCCTTCAGAGCCAGACAGGTGGACCATGTAGGAAGCGCCACCTGGTGGTGACTGGGATGCTGGCGGGGAGGAGCTGGGGGCAAAAGTCTAGTGGAAGTTTCCCAGGTCCCACACCCCGGTGACAGGGTGAACCCTGAGAGGAGCCCCCAAACTGGGGGCGATTGTCTTTGGGACAACCACGCACCCCAGTTTTTCAGAGACCAGACGCAAGACGTTTCTGGCTAAGAGCCATGGATAGTCATTCCATACGTTTTGTGGTTTCTTATCCCAAAAGGACATGAAGTCACAGTAGGCAGTGACATGGTAAACAGCCAAAGCCTGAGAGGGGATCCTGATGGGCACACCTTGTCTCAGCTGCTTTGGCCTGGAGGCTGAATGAATTGCTGTCCTCTTGCACCCCTGGGGCAGGCTGCCCCCCTCCCCCCACACAGCTGGCCCCACTGGGGAAGAGGGCTTTTGATTCTGGTTTCAGACTTGCTCTAAGGGGCAGAGCTGTGCATTCCTTCCTCCCCCCATTCCTCTTATTTTCTTCCCCTCCCTTTTGCTCTCCCGAGTCTGAAATCGCAAGATAGGGGGCATGGTCAGGAATGGGGGGTCTTCCTGTCCCCTACCTCATCCCTCCCCACACTACAGATGGCATCCTTGCTTCTGAGCCTCCCCAGCTGCAGTAACAGCTTCTGGTGGAAGAGGCCCACTCATTGTGTGACTAAGAGGACTAGCCAGGACAGTCTGGTTTGGGTCCACTGAGCCAGTGGATCAGTGTCCTGAGATGTGTCTCCAGAGATGTCCTGAGTAGGGCACAACATGGCAGTGAGTGAGTCACAGCACCTCACAGTAGGGTGCAGCAGGTGGTCAAGAGCTCAGCGCCAGTGCCACAGAAGGCAGCCTTTAACATGGTGAGTCCACATGCTCAAGGGGTCTGTTGACTGATGGGTGGAAGGTTCAAGCTGCTTAGCAGGGCAAGCCTTGACTGCCCCCACCTCCAGCTTTTCCAGGAGCTGACCCTTCCTGGGTGGTGGCCATAATTCTGAGGTCCCAGTGGGAGCCCAGTAGGACAGGCAGTGCCCTCCATTCCTCGCCCGAAGCCCGCTGATAGAGGGCCAGCCTTGGGTGTCAGGCAAGGAGGAGAGGCGATCCAGACCAGGCCAGCTGCTTCCGTCACCCGCTCTACCCTCTTACCCCACCAGTTTGCTCCACTGGATGGTACTGAAAAAGGGATGGGACTTGAGTTTGCTGACACCACCTTCTCCCACGCCCAGGCGCCGGGTAGGCTTGAACTGCAGCAGCTGCAGAGAGAGGCCCAGTCAGCTGGCCTGCCCCACTCCGGCTGTGAAGGCATGGGGTGACCTCCAGGGACTCCAACCACTATGGCCCCTAGGGTGCCTGCTCCCTGGCAACCTGGCCCGTGGAACCCACATTTTACCCTGGGGACATCAGTGGTGGTTGGCCACCAACATGTAGAAATGTGTTGACCCTACTGTCCTCTGCATCCACATCAGACACTGAGCACGAAACACACGTGGTGCAGACACAGTTCTGTGCCCCTCCCAGCACCTTTCTCAGGCTAGGCAGCTGCTTCCTCTGGCCGGGCTACACCTCACCTCAGTCAGCAGAGAGGCCGCCGGACGACTGAGCCACTCGGGCAGCTGGAGCTGGGTGTGGGCCTGGATTCCTGAAGGGTGGCTCTGGGACAGTGCCTGGGAGGACACAGGGAAGGGCCTCTGAGGAGGCGACCCCAGGACTGTCTACATTACAGTGGCAGCCAGGATTTTTTTTTCCCATGTCACATCCCATGAGGATGATGACAATGATTATAGTTGCTAGGGCCAGACACTGCCTGATGGCTAAGCAGTGCCTTTACGTTATCCACGAAAGGCAAGAAACAGGCCCAGAGAGGTAAAGGGACTTGTGCCGAGTTCAGGGTTTGAACCTAGGTCTTGGCTCCAAGCTTGCTAGAAGCAACTATCTTGGGTTGCAATCAGGGCAGGCACTCTTGAGAACAGTGATAGAACTTTTCTCCTTATTTAAAAAATCCACATTGGCTATTCATTTGGCAGCAGGCCACGGCATGCTACCATCGGGGCCAAGGCAGGGGCGTGGCAATAAAATAAAATAGGACCTCTCCACACCCCAGAAAGGCACAGCTTTGGGGAGCAGAGGGTCTGTCTGGAGGGAAGTATGAACTTCCAGGAACCCCTAGGAGGAAGGCCAGGAGCTCTGGGCTGGAGAGGTGAGAGGAGACAGGAAGCAGAGCGCCACTCTGCGGGAAATTGCAACCAGGACTCTCAGGGGCCCTGTGCCATGGGACGAAAGCAGGAGGGAGCCCGGATGGACTGGTCAGATCTGGACTTCAGTTCACGCTGCATCCATTCTGGCTATTTCCTGCTCAAATGCACTTTGGCCTCTCCCTTGTTGCCTACAAAACTGGTCTCAGTTGTGGTGCTGAGCTCATGAGTGAGGAGGATAGAAGGCAGAGCCATCTACTGTTCCCAAGAGTGCCTGCCCTGACTGCAACCTGCAAACACAGGTTCCTGGAGTGTTTGCGGGGGATCTTTTGAGCTCTTGGCTGACCCAGGCTGGACAGGGCAGCTGCTTGCCTGGGTGAAAGAGCCCCTCTCTCCCATCCTCCAGCGAAGGTCTGGGAGTGGCAGCCCACGAGGGCATGCGTGGGAGGAGTGAACAGTGGGCTCAGGAGGATCGAACAGAATTCCAGGGAAGAAGGGCTGTGTCACATTTTGCGCTTCCTCCAAATCTGACACCACCTGGGCCCAGGCTCTCTCTGGCAGAAACCTTCGCTGACCACCCCACTCTACTCTCATTCACAGAAGTTGACAGTCTCCTTAGCTATAGCCAACTAATGTGTTGGGAGTGCTAAGTGTGTCCCCGGCTTTGGGGGCAGCTGTGCTGGCAGGACAGTCAGGCAGTCTCTGCCCAGACTGAGTGACTGGACTAAGCCTGGCCCATCCCACACTCAGTGGCACCCACCAGAGCACGACACCCAGCCCAGCCACTCACCATTCCTGTCAGCAGTTCATACAGTAGAGACCCAAAGCTCCACCAGTCACAGGCTTCTGTCAGCTCAGAAATCCCGCCCACCTCTGTGGGAACAAGAACACGGGTCCCAGCCTCACCCAAGAGGGCCTCTTCCGTTCTCCTCAGCCTACCCAGACACCACCCACCCCCTCTGTCATTCTCAGACTCTGGGCGCAACCCCCACAAAGGCACCCAGGTGCTAGGGCCCACCCCGGCCTCCCCTTTCTTGCCTGGGGCGCTGTAGAGATTGTCCACGGCCTCCCCGCAGCACTGGGGCTCCACCTCTGACCACTGGCCAAAATATGTGAGCCGGATGTGACCTCCAGTGTGTAGGAGGAAAGAGGAGGGGACAAAGATTGAGGACAGCTGACATAGGGGAGGGGGTTCCAGGGCTTACCCCAACAGTCATGTGGTAGGAGCCAATGGCCTTGCTGGGCAGAACCTCTGCAGGGGCACAGCACCCTGAGGCCCACAGAGCCCACAGGGTACTCCCAGGAGCCTCAGCCAACAGACTCCGGCCTAGGCCCACTGAAAGGCCGGCTGGGGCCAGGGAGGAGAAGACAACCTTGGAGGTCCCCTCGACTTTGGGGATCTCTCGTCCTCTGCCTGAGGAGGCTTTGGGGGCTGCCCCCCTGAGGGGTGGGGAGGTCACCTACCTGCCTGGTCCAGGAGCAGGTTCCCGGGGTGGAGGTCCCGGCACAGCACCCCCTGCTCATGCAGTGCCTCCAATGCCACCAGCATCTCCGCCGCCCACTGCTTCACCTGCTCCTCTCTCACACTCCAGGTGGCCCTGCCACAGCCCCGGCCGGCCCCATCTGCTGACAGGCAGCTCTGATCCGTGCCTCGGCCACAGCCCCCTAGCACCAGGCCGGCCCCCTCGGGAACCCAAGTGAGTCCCTGAGGGGGCCCAGCGTCTGACTTCTGGCCAGCCCGCCTAGCTTGACGGTGCAGGTGGCCACCTGGGGCCTTTGGAAGGTCCGAGGAGCCAGAGGTGCTGGTCCTGGCTGTGGGTTCACCTTCAGCCTCCCTCTGGGGTCTGGTGGATGGGGCCTCCCCGGCTAGGGGAAGGCTCGGAGAAGTCCTAGGAGGCTCCAGGGCGATTCTGTCCTGGTCAGGGATGTGGCCTGAGGGGAGCCTCGCTGGGGTCAGGAGGTTGAGGTGGGGGTTGAGCTGAGCCTTCATCCTCTCCTGGGTAGAGCCAGAGCTGAGCCCAGAATGTCGGGGGTGCGCCTGGGAGAGCAGGTGGGACCAGAGAGTGCCTCCTGGGCCATGCAGAGGGAGCGGTGAGCGTGGGGACAGGGAGAAAAAGAGCATGGATGCCAGGCCCGTTCCCACTCCTGCCTCCCCTGTCTTGGGCACAGACTTTCTGCCTCTGGGTGTCCGGGCCTAGTTCAGCCCCTCACCTCTGCTCCCTGCCACCCCTCAGCTTAGAATGCCCTCTGCCCTCCTCTTGACCCACCTAAAGCGGGCCCAGCCTCACAAACTGGCACACCACCGACAGACGTCCAGCACTGCCAGTGTCTGTGGTTTGGGTGGTGGGTTCACTAATGTGAACACTGTTTTTAGGGAGACTGATATAAAGAAATTTAAAGAAGGCCAGGCACAGACTGATGATGACTATGTGTCATGACCCCAGATGTGGACCTCACTTTAAAAAGTCATCAATACAATCATAACTTCAGTCACCACCACCCTGTCTGGCCACTCCCAAGGGATCGGCACAGTCCAGAAAAATTAAAAGAGCCAACGCAGGAGGAAACAGCGACAGAGGAGACAGCTTCGATTCTCATGCCCACCCACGATGTGGGCATCCTCCCCAGGATGTCCCCTGCCCCCTTGGCACCGCACACAGGCCCACAACAGCCTGACTGGCCTCCAGAAAGGCCGCGTACCCTGGTCTGTGCTGTACATCTGGTGCAAGTTCTACTCCTCCCCAGGTCTCAGCTTTTTTTTTTTTTTGAGGCAGAGTCTTGCTTTGTTGCCCAGGCTAGAGTGCAGTGGCATGATCTTGGCTCACTGCAACCTCCACCTCTTAGGTTCAAGTCATTCTCCTGCCTCCGTCTCCCAAGTAGCTGGGATTACAGGCACGCACAAGCACCACTGGCTAGTTTTTGTATTTTTAGTAAAGACAGGGTTTCACCATGTTGGCCAGGCTGGTTTGGAACTCCCGACCTCAGCTGATCCGCCTGCCTCGGCCTCCCAAAGTGCTGGGATTATAGGCATGAGCCACCACGCCCTGCCAGGGCTCAGCATTTTAAGAGTTGACAACATATCCCAAAGTCCTGGGGAGCGGACAGGGGCCCCCAGGCCTGCTCACCTTGCACATGCTCCAGGTGCAGGAAGATGGAGTCCTCGCTCACGAAGTACCTAAGCAGCTTTGTCATGTAGGGGACTCCGTGTGGGATGATGGTCAGCCGCTCCCGGCTCACCATGTGGCACCTGGGTAGGCTCTGGGAGGGGCAGGGCAGGCAGATCAGCCGGGGACAGGCCAGAGACTGCTGCTGTTAGGGGACCTCCTAGCCCTGGCTTCAGGGGCACCCGAATGAGGGTGGAGCAAATGCCTCCCTCAGTTCCTGACCTGTCCTTACCCCCATTGCCCCTGTAGAATCCGGGTCCTCCACTCTCTAGCCAAAGAGGGGGCAGTGTGTGTGCATGTGTGTATTTGTGTGTTTGTGTATTTGTGTGTGTGTAATGTGCATGTGTGTCCATCTGGAAAGCGGGGCATGTTCGGGTAGAACAAGCAGCTTTTGGGGGAGGGAGTGTAGGCTTCTAATGCAGGTTCTGGGTAGGAGTTTCCAAGAGCCCTGAGAAAGATCCAAGGGGAATGCAGAGTGGCAGAGGCAGGGTGGCACCTGCCTTCACCACGAAGGTCCCTCCTGTTGCCGGGTCCTGGACCAGCTGCACCTGCCAAAGTCCAAGAGGCACTGGTTAAGGCATGTGCTAGCTCCTGGGGCTCCATGACCCCAGCCTGACCCCCTCCCAGGTTCCTCCACTGAGGCTGGCTCACTCCAGTGGCAGGGCAGGGAGAGCGGGCTTTGGTGGCACTCCTGAAGCGGACATCGATCCTATCCTGCTCATCCACCCCTGCTAGACCTGTGGTCTCAGATGCTGCCTCCTCCAGGAAGCCTTCCCAAGATTACGGGGGCTGGGGTCCCTAATCTGTCTCCAGTGCTCTCTTAGTTCACCCTCAGGAGAGCCTCTTCACACTGTCTAATCTGTCTCCCCACTGGACTGTGAGCTCTGTATTCCCGGAGCCCTGCACAGTGCAGGGATGTAGTAGGTGCTGGACACACACACTGCGAGCAGCCCGAGCCTCGGCTCCCTGTGTGTGTGGTGCGAGAAGAACGCCCTGCCCATGCTGGGCCAAGCCTCACATCACCTAAGGGGAGGGCTGAGAAGCCCTGTTCCACCTGGACCCCCAGAGATCAACTGAGAAGCCCTGTTCCACCTGGACCCCCAGAGATCAACCCCTCACCCAAGGCCTTGGCCAGAGCCCCACCATCCTGCAGGGTCTGAGGTGTCACGGCTGGAAGGGACCTCAGAGCCAGTCACTTCCCCTGATCTCTTTTTTTTTTTTTTTGAGACAGAGTCTCGCTCTGTCGCCTAGGCTGGAGTGCAGTGGCACGATCTCGTCTCACTGCAAGCTCCGCCTCCTGGGTTCATGCCATTCTCCTGCCTCAGCCTCCCAAGCAGCTGGGACTACAGGTGCCTGCCACCACGCCCAGCTAATTTTTCGTATTTTTTAGTAGAGACGGGGTTTCACTGTGTTAGCCAGGATGGTCTCGATCTCCTCACCTTGTGATCCGCTGGCCTCGGCCTCCCAAAGTGTTGGGATTACAGACATGAGCCACTGCGCCCGGCCTCTGATCTCTTGCTTTACAATTGAGGAAGCCACAGCTCTGAGCTGACTCCAGGTCTCCCCAGCGCAGCCACGTTGTGTGGGCTTGGCATGCTGCGTTCAGGCCTCTTCCCCACTCCACTCCACCCCCTTCATTTACACAGACCCCCACGACGCAAGTTTATCTATGTGAAAAACCTGCATATGTACTCCTGACTGCAAATAAAAATTACAAACAAATAAGTAAAGTCCTCTCGGGAGGCTTTCCTTGGAGAGCAGCCTCTTCTTGTGTTGGTCTCCACTAGAGGCAGAGGCTGTCAATTGCAAGGTCAGGGTCGTGTTTGGAGTAGGGCCCTTTTCTCATCTGCGTGGTGGGCAGGGGCGGGCCCCAGCAGGAGGAGCGGGCACACAGGTACGTCGAGGGCGGGAACAGAGGATTCAGCCCAGGTGAGGGCGTGTGGAGGCAAGGCCCGCACCCTGGGGTTGTGACTCCTTGGCTGCTGGCCTGCCCTGCAGACATTCCCCAGGGAGGCCGTGGCCAGCCATGGTGGGGGGTGGGAACTGGGCCCTGAGGCCAGGCTAGTGGGCAGTGAGGAAGGCCACAGCTTGGGATCAGGGTAGGGGAAGGGGCACTGGGCTTCGATCTTGGGCAAATTGAATTGATTTTCTCATCTACCAACCAGGAATTCCAAATGCCCACCTTCCCTACATCTCTGGATTGTTGAAGCCATACAGAAAGCCCTTGGTGAGGGCCGGGCGCGGTGTCTCAGGCCTGTAATCCCCACAATTTGGGAGGCCAAGGCGCGTGGATCACCTGAGGTCAGGAGTTCAAGACCAGCCTGGCCAACATGGTGAAACCCTGTCTCTACTAAAAATACAAAAATTAGCTGGGGATGGTGGCACATGCCTATAATCCCAGCTATTCGGGAGGCTGAGGCAGGAGAATCGCTTGAACCCGGGAGGCGGGGGTTGCAGTGAGCCTAGATCATGCCACTGCACTCTAGTCTGGGCAACGGAGAGAGACTCCATCTGAAAAACAAAACAAAACAAAAAACAAAAAACCAAGAAAGCCCTTGGTGAATGGAAAGGCTGTGAGAATGTCAGGGATCACATGTGCCAAGTCACATGGCCTCTCTGAATCTTGCTCCTTTTAAGTACAAAATGGGGTCATAGCAGCACTTCCTTCAGGGGGTCATGAAGAGGATTCTGTTAAAGCAGGTGATTCAGGCACAGCAGCAGCCTGCACCTGCCGCAGAGCACACCTTTGACAACCTGTCGTGATTATTACCAGTGTCATCTGAGGGGAAGCCCACCCTGGCTATAAAGTGCTTACTCTGTGCCAAGCACTTTACATAGGTTGTTTAACTTTATCCCCACAATCCTGCCAAAATTCAGGCCTGAGCCTCAAAGAGGTTATGTGGCCTACTGTCCCACTGCTAAAAAGTGGTCAAGTCAGGACTTGAACCCAGGCAGGTTGATCCCAGAACCCTGCAGACTTTACTGGAACTGAGAGCACAACCAGGTGACCTTGGCATGGGCCTTCCCTCCTGAGCCTGTTTCTCCATCACCAGTGAAAGGAAGGCAGTGGGCTACACGAGCGCCCAGGATCCTTTTCGCAGCAGGAGCAGGGAGTCCTCTCCGACCACCAGAGGTCTCTCCTCCAACAGCCAGAGACTGAGTCCAGCCTGGGCTTGGCTCCCTGACCAAACTTGTGCAATATTTGAAAAAGCAAGGAAGAAAACTCTGGAGTCATTTAGGAGAACAGAGTTTCCCACAAATCCTGACACCCCGGATAATTCCCCACCGTCCCTTGCCAAGTGGGATTCCCCGCCACCTTGTCCCGGGCAAGGGCCTCTGATTGACAGAGTCCAAAAAAACCAGCGAAGGAGGGAAGGCTGAGGAAGCCAGAAATAAACCTTGATCCATACACTGAAAGATTTCTGCTAAAAACATACTAAAACCACTCTCAGTATCCAGAAAGAATTAGACTAAAACATTAACAGTGATTATCTTGGAGTTAGGTAGGATTCAGGGGATTTTTTTTTTTCTTCTCCTTTTTCTTTCATTATATTTCAAAAGGGCAGCAAAGTAGGGGGCATTTTCCCATTCATTCAACCAAACAAGAAACCCCTTTTACTCAGTGGTTTGGGGGACGGAGGACTGTCTAGTCCCTTGACTTATTTATTTATTTATTTATATTTATTTATTTATTTTGAGATGGAGTCTCACTCTGTTGCCCAGGTTGGAGTACAGTGATGTGATCTCAGGTCACTGTAACCTCCACCTCCCAGGTTCAAGCAATCCTCCTGCCTCGGCCCCCTAGTAGCTGGGCTTACAGGCACGCACCACCATGCCCAGCTAAATTTTGTATTTTTAGTAGAGATGGGGTTTTGCCATGTTGGCCAGGCTGGTCTTGAACTCCTGACCTCAGGTGATCTACCTGCCTCGGCCTCCCAAAGTACTGGGATTATAGGTGTGAGCCACCGCGCCCAGTCTACTTCTTTGTTTATTTTTGAGACGGAGTTTTACTGTCGTTGCCCAGGCTAGAGTGCAGTGGTGTGATCTCAGCTCATTGCAATCTATGCCTCCCAGGTTCAAGCGATTCTCCTGCCTCAGCCTCCCGAGTAGCTGGGATTACAGGCATGCGCCACCACACCTGGCTAATTTTGTATTTTCAGTAGAGACGGGGTTTCACTATGTTGGTCAGGCTGGTCTCGAACTCCTGACCTCTGGTGATCCACCCACCTCAGCTCCCCAAAGTGTTGGGATTACAGGTGTGTGCCACCGAGCCCAGCCCCGTTGAATTCTTTGAACCTCAGTTTAATTCTCTGTAGGACAATTATTAAAATGCAGCACTGTCCAATTGAACTTCTTATCACGATGGCAGGATTATACGTCTGCACTGTCCAATATGGAAGCCAGTAGCCACATGGGGCCATTGAACACTTGAAATGTGACTGATGAACTGAGACACAGATGACTTCGTTGGTAATGAATATGAATGCAGAGAGGCTTATGTGGCTAGTGACTACCGTGTTGAACAGCACCATATAAGCCTTTGCTCCCCCATGGTGACTGTGAGGATTTACTGCCACAGCTCTGTAAATGAGAAGGTTCTGTACAACTGTTGGGTGAGCTTTCCATTTGGGAAGATGGAAGGCAAAAAGAGCGATTGTTGTAAATAAAGAGACCCACTGAATTCTTGGGACAGAGGGACCATTAAAGTTTGGTGAAACATGGTAAACCTCTTCTTTAAAGATGCACAAAGTATCAAAATCCCAGGAGGAATCTCCCATGGAACAAACAAGCCTAAAGATTTCAAACAAGTTCTTAAACTCAAAGGCCCACAGGGGCCAGGCATGTGAGCAAAGGGGCAGGGTGGAGGCGCAGACGGGAGGGCTGGTGCCCTGTCTAAAGCAGGCATATCCTCCTTCATTCCCTGCTGCCACAGGGGAATGGGAGCCAAGCGTTTCCAGATCTGATTTTTTCAAGAGAAGCAGGAAATCTGGACTTTTATAAGAATCTGCACATTTTTAAATGTTGGTAACAACTAAAAAACAAACAAACAAACAACACCCTGTGTTTAAGCCAAATAAAAGAAGTGACTTGGATGACCTTCTTTTTCTTCCTCCACCCCATCTCAGAGCCTGGCTCCTGCACGAGGCTCAGCAAACACCGGTGACGTCTCCCTGGCCCCCAGGCTCTGAGGCCAGGCCCTCGGGTATTCTGGCTGCTTCCCAAGTCCCGATCCACCCACCTCACTGCTCCCTGCCACCATCTCTTCAGCCCCTATAGTTATCCCAACAGCCAGACACGTTAGGGATCACTCAAGCATCATCCCGAGCAAGCCCTTTGCTTCCTCCCTGGGCCTGAGGGCTGCTGCAGGCTGGCACTGCCCACCTCCCCGGATCTGTCTGGGCAGAGCTGTGGAATGGAACAGGGTGACAGTATATCTAAGTCTGGCTGCAGGGAGCCAGGCCCAGGGGTAGTAACACCTTTCCTAATTTGGGGAAAGTGATGGCTTGGGCATGACACAGGGAAAGGAAGTAGAATCTCAGGAGGGAGGTGAAGTCCTTAAGTTGAGTACCCCAGACAGGATAAAAAACAAAAAACAGAAGGGCAGCCCTGAAATAGAATGGGGCGGGCCAGTGGCTCATGCCTGTAATCCTGAGCGCTTTGGGAGGCCTAAACGGAGATGGAGGATCACCTGAAGCAAGGAGTTTGAGACCAGTCTGGGCAACACAGCGAGATCGCTCTACAAAAAATAGAAGAAATTAGCAGGGCTTGAGACTGTGGTCCCAGCTACTCAGGAGGCTGAGCTGGGAGGATTGCTTGAGCCTGGTAGGTCGAGGCTGCAGTGAGCTGAGATCACGCCACTGCACTCCAGCCTGAGCTACAGAGCGAGACTGTCAAAAAAAAAAAAAAAAAAAAAAAAAGAATGGTTGGGCTTGGCCTTAATTTGTGCTTTCCATCTGCAGGGGCCTCGATACACCAGATTCCTAAACCACTTTCCTGAGGCTAAACAAGTTTGGGGAATTCTGTGTCATAGTGTACATCTGCATCTACAAACTCTAAGAACTCCTATCATTAAAAAAACAAAGCAACATAACTTTAACTCACTGTTTTCCTGTCATACTCAGCTCAGAACCCCTCTTGCCATAACACGTATGGTTCAGCAGGATCTTACTGGGAGGCACAGTGTCAGTCACCTCCCAGCCGGTCCCTGGGAGCAGCTGTGCTCAGCCAAGGTTGGGTCGTGGCCACTGACACTCGAGCACTGGGGAGGGGACCATGGCAGATGGAAGCTGGCAGGGCCTGCGCTGACAGTCTGGGGCCTGCCCCAGGGACCCAGGAGAAGCAGCCAGAGTAAGGCCCGGGAACAGGGGCGTGCGTGCCTCCCAGCTCACTCCTGTCACTTGTATTTAGAGCCATCAAACATGTAATCAGTGTCATAGCATGTGCCAGGTCTTTCCCCAAAATTGTTTTACCTCCCAGATCACCCCATAGACAGAGAATTCTCATCTCACTTTCCAGAGGATGAAACCACAGCTCAGAGAGCAGGGGGCTTGCCTGTGGCCACCTGGGGTGGTGCCCAGCACGGGGCCTTCCCGTGGGCAGCATGTCATCCTCTTTTGCCTGTGGGAAGCACAGGACTGTCTCCTTTTCTCTGCGGGCCCCTAGATCCACCAAAATCACCCAGCGAGTATGTTAAATAACAGATTCTTGGGCATCTGTATTTTTAGGAAGCTCTCCATTTAGCCAGCTTGGTAAAGAACTTCTTGGGTGACTATTCCAGGGTTCGGGGAAGAGGGGAACCTCATACTGGCTGGACTCTCATCTGACCTCATTCTCTATCCTTCTGATTTCCTCACTCTAACAACGAGTGTCCCGAGGAAGGGTTGAGACGTCGCCTCCTATCTTCTTGTCTGCCCTGACTAAGGCAAAGCACGCGAGATGGGATTGAGACAGGGTAAAGTTATAGTTAGGTCAGGAGAGTAAAAAAGGGTAGACTTGCCAAGGGCCTGGGCAAGGAAGGGCCGGCGCGGGCCCTCTCTGGACAGGTTTCTGGAGTTGAGCACGTCCCAGCCGCAGGAAGTCCCCAGCTGTGCTCGGTGGAGTGCCTTGGCTGCAGCCCTGGGGTTCAGGGTGAGTGTGGTGGGGGTGCTGTGGGAAGCGGGAAGTGGGCGTGAGCACGGCCTCGAGGGCTGGCAGAGCGCCCTGGGCACAGCTCCTCACTCCTCCTGCAGTTTCTGTCCCAACTCTCCCAAGGAGCAGGTTTCCTGGGTCTGAGCTGCAGGGCTGTGGAAAGGGCCTGTCTGCCTCTTCTTTTTATATTTTATTTTATTTTAATTTTATATTTTATTTTATTTGAGATGGGGTCTTGTTACGTTGCCCTGGCTGGCCTCTAACTCCTGGGCTCAAGCAATCCTCTTGCCTTGGCCTCCCAAAGTGCTGGGATTCAAGGTGTGAGCCACTGTGCCTGGCCAATTGGCCTCTTCTCGTTCCCTGTATTTTCCTCTCCAGGACCCAGGACCAGAGTCATGCGTGTTGGGGATGGGGGAGAGGTGGGAACTGCTGGACACAACTGCACTCCCCTCTGACCCTGCCCACCTCCTCTGGAGGAGTGGGGGCCACTGCTACAACCTACTTTCAGCACATCACATCTCTCTCCCTACTACCACCCCAAATTGCATACCCTGTTTCCCTCCTGCAGGGCAAGTGTCCACTCACTCACCTTCTCGATGACCCCGACCACCCTGCAGCCCCTCAGCTGCTCCACAGCAGAGCTCAGTGTGCGGATGGGCCGGAGCCTCAGGCTGCTGAAACCCTGCAGAGGAGGGAGACAGGCCACACGCAGCCTCAGAGCCAAGCCCTCCTTGGCCATGGCCTTCTCACCAGGCATCAGGCAGGAGCTTCTGGATGCAAGGAGAGCAGTAGGGAGGGCAGGGGTACAGGCAGGCCCCACCCCACAGGGGCAGGCTGGGTGGAAAAGCTGGCCTCGACTGACAGGTACCCATACTGGTCCAGGGTGGTCAAGTCAACTTCCCTGCTCAGCCCACCCAAGGCCCATGTTCTCTGGGCTTCAGAAGTCCCCTCTCAAAAGCCCCATCTAGGCCAGGCGCAGTGGCTCACAACTGTAATCCTAACACTTTGGGAGGCCGAGGCGGGCAGATCACTTGAGGTCAGGAGTTTGAGATCAGCCTGGCCAACATGGTGAAACCCCATCTCTACTAAAATACAAAAGTTAGCCGGGCGTGGTGGCGCCTGCCTGTAATCCCAGCTACTTGGGAGGCTGAGGCAGGAGAATCGCTTGAACCCGGGAGGTGGAGGGTTGCAGTGAGCCAAGATCATGCCACGGTACTCCAGCCTGGGTGACAAAGCGAGACTCCATCTCAAAAAATGCAGAAGCTCCCAAGGTGGGGGTAGGGAAATAACCTGGGAACCTGTGAGTCTCACAGAACATGCTTTGTAGACCAAGCACGTACTCTGGGGAAAGGCAGCCGTACGAGATGCAGTGAGCCAAGGAGGGTTGTGTGAGTGCAAGCATCCATGGGGTAAGAAGCACGCATGCATTTTCCACCCTCACTAAGCACTCACTGGTTTAGAGAAAGCCATATGGGGAGAGTGTGTGTGCACATGTGGGTATCAGGGTCTGTTCCAAATTGCACGCTAGTTCACAACAGAGACAGAATCAGGAGACTCTGAGTGTGGACACACGTAAGCGTGTAAACTGAACTGTGTGCAAGGCTGGCAGATGTATATGTGCACGCATCGCAAGTGCTCTGTGAGGGAGGCAGACTGGACTGGAGATGACTCAGTGAGTTGTTTGAAAATGAATGAGCCATGAGGCATGGGAGAGAGAGGAAGCCAGGAGGAGAAGATGATGGGCCTCCCTGGCACACTCCAGCCCAACTAACGATCTCCACTGCTGGCCTCTGCCCTGCAGCCCAGGGCCGGCCTGTGGGTGTCGGGGCCTCCGCAGTCTCCCCTCAGAGCCCTTCTCCTGCTCAGGCCTTTGGGCGGGGGGTCTCCTCACCGTGCTGGGGCTGGCTCCACTGCCCAGCGGCCGCTGCAGGTGGCAGTTGAAGATCTCCTCTGCCCGCCGCAGGTACTTGGTAATTTTCAGCTTCACAGCCTCACGTCGCTCCTTGTTGGGGTCAACTGTGGGGGACGAGGGTCACCAGGGTCCCCAGCCACAGCCTTGGAGAACTGGGGTTCCAGCTCCCATTGCCTGCCCTCTGCCCTCCAGAGGAGGGAGCTCCTGTTTCTAAGCCTGGTTCGGTAGATTCTACCCCCAGATTGCTTCGTGAGCCCCTCCTCTGGGGTGGGGGACCAGCCAGGAAGGAGGAGGAAGGGAAATGGCAGGAGGAGGTTAGGAACCAGGGTCACTCCTCAGCAGACAACACTTCACCGTTAGCACCCACCGCCTTGCTGGCAGCTGTCACACCCTGGAAAGGGACAGGGTGGGGATTTCCCCATCCATTTTTTTCAGAGGAGGGGACAGAAGATTCCAGAGAACATTGCTTCTTCCATCTCTGATGCCCAGTGTGAAGAAGGCTAGGGTGGGGACCAGGATAAAGGAATTGACTGGACAGACTGGAAGCCCAGGCTTGAGGGGTCTCTTCAGCCGGAGGGCAGGAAGGGCCCAGTGGCCACCCCAAGCCTGGCCACCAGCCTCTCCCCTGGCATGGAAGTTCCTCATGCTGCCCTGGAGGGACCTCCCCTCTCACCTCTAGGCCTTGACTGTTCTCTCTCTGGGACTCTAGCCAGTCCTTCAGCTGGATAATGCACCTACCATTCTCCAGTGCTCAGATTAGAGATCTAACATCTAGAAAATGCTCTAGGCCAGCCCAGTCTGACCTCAGTTTCCCTCTTTCCTCTCTTCACTTCACCCCTAATCCTCTTCCTACCTGAGACTATAATGGTCCAAATCAACTCATCAGTCTCCCCCGACTAGAATGCAAACTCCCAGAGGGCAGGAGCCCAGCCCAGCTCCAGGGACAGGCAGTCAGGTGTGGAAGGCCAAGTACACAGCCTGTGAAGTCAAACCCCAGCTCTGCCACTTGATAGCTGTGGAACCTCGAGCGAGCTATTGAACTGCCCCAGGCCTCAGCTTCCTCATCTGGAACACGAGAATTTAAAAAATGGTTCCGTGTACTTGGAACAACACACAACAACATATACAGTAATTTCTATTACTGTGACGCTCAGATGAATGAATCTACATGAAGCCCCTTAGAATGGTGCCTGGCACGTAGGAACAGCTTAATAAGTGCCAGCTATCATTGTCCTTCACGGAGGCCCTGCAGGCCAGCATAGTGCCCTGCTCACCCAGTACAAATGGACAGAGGACAGGACAGATGGATGACAGGAGGAGTCCTGCACTGGCCCTTCCCCACTCACCGCAGCCCTGCCCAGCCCCGGTCCTCACCGTGTATGCCACGGAGCAGCATGTCCACGCCATTCTGATAGTGGTTGAAGGCCGCCTCATAGTCTTCACCAACGTCGCGCTCCAGGGCCAGCCGGATCTGCGTGGCCGCATCCACCAGATAGTCACGCTTTGTCACGTCAGACGCCCCCAGAGCCACCCTGTTGCGAATCTGCTCCAGGTACACGCGAGCCTGGGACCGTGCTCGTGAGCAAGGCTCAGGCTCCAGGCCGGGGCTGGGCAGGCACTCGCAGGCCACCAGGCTCATGGCTGCCCTGCAGCTGGGACCTGGAATGGGCAAATGTATTAGGGAGGACCTAGCTGGGTGCAACACCCCTATCCGCTCCCCAGCTTCCTCCACTGAATATCAGGGAGACTAATATTCACCTCCAAAGACTGAAGGGGTCAGAGCTAAAGTGGGTAAGGTCTTTTCATGGATCCAGGTCCTTCATAAGTGGTGGTAATGATAGAATCATCACCAGCTTGGGACTCTGTTTTCTTCCTTTTTTTTTTTTTGAGACGGAGTCCTGCTCTGTCACCCAGGCTGGATTGCAGTGGTGTGATCTTGGCTCACTGCAACCTCCACTTCCCGGGTTCAAGCAATTCTCTTGCCTCAGCATCCTAAGTAGCTGGGATTACAGGCACTCGCCTACCACACCTGGCTATTTTTTGTATTTTTAGTAGAGACAGGGTTTCATCATGTTGGCCAGGCTGCTCTTGAACTCCTGACCTCAGGTGATCTGCCTGCCTCCGCCTCCCACAGTGCTGGGATTACAGGCGTGAGCCACTGCGCGGGCCTGGGGTTCTGTTTTCCTTTCCAATCAAATTCAGTTCAGCAAACATTTCTGGAGTATCTGGTACTGTGTTGAGCTCTGGAGAGAGCTGAGGATATCTGTGATCCACAGCCACCTTCACAGGGCCTCCATGGAGCACGCTTGATATCTAGTACGCATTCAGCACATGGAGGCCACACACGCTGATCTCAAATGCTGTTCCTCATGCTGTTCCCTCCACCCTGCCTGTTCTCCCCTCCCTGCTCCTCCTGTGGGAATCTAATTTACCCTTTGGGGTTTAGACTTCTCCGTGGACGGGACGGATTGCCCCTGCTGTGTTTGTTCCCTTGGTCCTGAGGTCGGTGTGCTCAGCGAGTGAGGACCCCTCCTGGAGCCAGCAGAGAGCTAAGCACAGAGCTGGCCTGTAAGACTTGTTGGCAGACGGAATGACTGAATGGCAGACTCGGTGCCACGTTGGATGGGGATAGAAGAGGGCAGGGTGACCCAGCCCCAGGGAGGGTCTCTGTCCTCCCGGCTTTACTTTTGAGAAGGCCATGTGGCCTCCAAGGACCTGACAGCAGCTTCTCCCTGAGCAGTGTGTGACCCAGGCGGCCAAAGGGATGAGAGCCGTGGCTGCGGGAAAGGAATGGGCTCAGAGAGAGGCCCGCGGAGCTGTCCCGCCTTTGCTCTCCCAGGTCTCACTGGGAATGGGCAGGGCCCGGAACTTACAACCCGAGGTCATTCGGAGAGAGAGAGAGAAGGATGGGCGGTGGGGCGGGGAGGGAGACCCACAGCCTCAGCCGGCGGGGAGCTGAACCCGGGCCAGGAGGCGGAGGGAGGCCGCACCATCCCTGCTCGGCCAAGCCCAGGGGGAACTTGAGGCTCTGAGGCCTTGCTCTCGGGGGTGCCCGGGTGGGACTGGCTTCAGGGGCCACCCCGCCGGGCCGGGTCCTGCCGGGCAGAGCCGCTGGCCCCGCCTGGACGCAGAAAGCGGCGCGTGCAACCCGCGGGGCCTCAGCCGCAAGGTGCACGGTCCCAGGGTGAAGGGACGGCCGAGGGGGCCCCTCGCCTGGGAGGGTGGAGGAGGGGCCGGACAAAACACCGTACCTGCCCGAGCTGGGAGCCCGGTCCGCGGGCCAGGCCTCCCCCTGACGCCACCGGCCCTTCACGCCAGAGCGCGCCGCCGCCGAGGCTTTCCGGCATCTAGCGTGCGGGGCCTGCCGGTGCAGCGCGGCCATTGGCTGCGGATTAGCTCATCCTTGATCCTTAGAATAAACCACCAATCACCGCCCGGCTCGACTCCTGTCGGCCTTAAAGCCACAGGGTCCGCACTGCGGCGCTGTCGGGGGCGGGGAGGGGGCGGAGAGGGGGGAGGGAGGGCGGGGAGTGGGCGGGGGGTGGGCGGCTTAGAGAGGGGAGGGTGGGATGGGATGTAGGGTGGGTGGGGAGAGCAGGTCTAGAATCATCCAGGGATGCGGAAGGGGCTGCTTCAGAAATCTAGACCGTGCCACTTCTAGTACTTTTCTCATTCGTTACTTCATTCCTTTATTCAACGATTCAATGCTATGTATTGAGAGTCTACCATGCATGAGGAGCTGGGTGTTGAGATACAGCCGTGAACTAGCCAGCGCTGTTCACATCTGCATGGGGCTTACAGTCTAGTGAGGGCTACCGAGAGTAAAGAACCCAGCAATAGAAGGCTTTTGATGTCGGAACCGAGCTTAAAATTCAAGACATAGGCCGGGTGCGGTGGCTCATGCCTGTAATCTCTGCACTATGGAAGGCTGAGGTGGGAGGATCATTTGAACCCAGGAGTTTAAGACCAGCCTGGGCAACATAGGTAGACCCAATCGCTATACAAATTACAAAATTTAGCCGGGCATGGTGGCGTCTGCCTGTGTTCCCAGTTACTCAGGAGGCTGAGGTGGGAGGATGGATTGAGTTCAGGAGGTTGAGGCTGCAGTGAGCGGAGATCATGCCGCTGCACTCCAGGCTGGGTGATGGGGCAAGATCCTGTGACACAGATCTCACCTGCAGGATTGGTGCTGACTGGTTTCACCCTGTCCCCCGGATGCACTTGCTCTACCCCAGACACCCTTTCATACTTTCCCCCTCTGACTCCCACCCGTGCCCCCATCCTCACTCTCAACCAGCGCTGTTGCTTCATCCTTCCCTTGACAATAGTGGCGCACAGACTCCCACAGGCTTGCTCTTGGCTCGCGGGCGGGGCTGTGCCCACACTCTGCTTCCAACCTTTTTCCACAGGTGACTGTCTGTGCCCCATCGAAGGCCACCCTTCCAGGTGGGCATCAGTCCCATGCCATCACCTTGGCGACACCACTCCAGCGATTCTCCCCTCTCTCCCACCAGATCATTATCTGATACAAACATAATGCTGTTTCTCCCCTCTTAAAAACAAAACAAGAAAACAAATCAAAATACACTCTAGGCCTCACTTCTTCCTTTATCTACCACCCTATGTTTGCAGTACGCCTAATTTTCTTTCTTTTTTTTTTTTTTTAGTAGAGATGGGGTTTCACCATATCGCCCAGGCTGGTCTCAAACTCCCGAGCTCAGGTGATCCACCCACCTTAGCCTCTCAAAATGTTGAGATTACAAACGTGAGCCACGACACCTGGCCCAAAAGTAAACTTTTAAAATACATCCTATAGAATGGGAGAAGATACTTGGAAATCATATATCTGATAAGGGTCTAGTATCTAGAATATATAAAGGACTCTTAAATTCAACAATAAAATGACAACCCATTTTAAAAATGGGCAAGTAATTTGAATAGATATTTCTCCAAAGAAGATATGCAAATGCATGCCATAAGCACACGAGAAGATGCTCTACATCATTAGTCATTACAGGAATGCAAATTAAAATCACAAGGAGAGACCACTTCTCACCCACTGGGATGACCACAACAAAAAAGACAATAATAACAAGTGTTGGCAAGGATCTGGAGAAAATTGCATATTGCTGATGAGAATGTAAAATGGAACAGATGCTTTGGAAAGCAATTTGGCAGTTCCTCAAAAAGTTAAACATAGAGTTACCGTATAACCCAGCAATCTACTTCTAGGTGTATACTTAAGAGTATTGAACACATATGTTCACATAAAAACTTGCACATGAATGTTGATAGCAGCATTATTCATAATAGCCAAAAAGTGGCAACAACCCAATGTCCATCACCTGATGCATGCATAAAATGTGATGTATCCGTGTAATGGAATATTATTCAGCCATAAAAAAGAGTGAAGTGCTGATACATGCTACAACGCAGATGAACCCTTAAAACATTATACTAAATGAAAGAAGCCAGTCACAAAAGGACACATATTGTATACTTCCATTTATATGAAGTTTCCAGAGACAGAAAGTTCACGTCAGGGAGGGGACAATGTGTATGGGGTTTCTTTTTGGGGTCATCAAATGTTCTAGAATTAGACAGTGGTAAGAGTTGTACAACCTAGTGAATAATACTAAGGACCACTAAATTGTATATTTTAAAAAAGTAAATTTTGGCCAGTAAAAATTTGGCCTGTAATCCCAGCACTTTGGAAGGCTGAGGCGGGTGGATCACCTGAAGTCTCCGGAGCTGGAGAGCAACCAGACCAACATGGAGAAATCCTGTGTCTACTAAAAATACAAAAAAATTACCTGGGCGTGGTGGTGCATGCCTATAATCCCAGCTACACAGGAGGCTGAGGCAGGAGAATTGCTTGAACCCGGGAGGCGGAGGTTGCAGTGAGCTGAGATCGTGCCCATTGCACTCCAGCCTGGGCAACAAGAGTGAAACTCCGTCTCAAAAACAAAAAAATAAAAATAAAAATAAAATGATAAATTTTATGGTATGTGAATTATATCTCAATAAAAAAAATTACAATAAAAAAGAAAGAAAAAACAATGCCTGAACTCTTGATCCTGCCCCGAAATCTTTTCCACCTGAAGCCTTTCCTAGCCCATTCTGATGATCTGCCCATCCTGTTGTTGCTCAGGCCAAACATTTTGGAACCATCCCGATTTCTCTTATTTTCTCGCACAGCCCCTTGCCCCTCTCCATTCTTTTTCACCAACCTCACTCACTCAACTGCAACTCCTGGGATACACCAGGCAGCTCTCACCCCAGGGGCTTTGCCCAGCAGCTGCCTTCTGGCTGAAATCATCTGCCACCAGGTATCTGTCTGGTTTTCCCTGCCCCTGGCTTTTTTTTATGTTGTTCTTTTTTCGAGACCAAGTCTCGCTCTTTTGCCCAGACTGGAGTGCAATGGTGCGATATCAGCTCACTGCAACCTTCACCTGACGGGTTCAAGCGATTCTCCTGCCTCAGCATCCCAAGTAGCTGGTATTACAGGCGCCCACCATCACGCCTGGCTAATTCTTGTATTTTTAGTAGAGATGGAGTTTCACCACGTTGGCCAGGCTGGTCTCAAACTCCTGACCTCAAGTGATCCACCTGTGTAGACATCCCAAAGTACTGGGATTACGGGCATGAGCCACCACGCCTGGCCCCTGCCCCTGTTCTGAGGCATTCCCCTGATGTGACTTTCTTGTGAGACCTACTCTGACCATACATCACCCACAACACCTTCATTCCCTCATTCCCTCTGCTCTGCTTCTTTTCCATTGTACTTAACACTGTTAGCTACATAACTTACTATTGATGCTATATAACTTACTTGTTTTTTCCTTTGACATGGTGTCTCACTCTTTTACCCAGCTGGAGTACGGTGGTACAATCACAGCTCACTGCAATCTCAACCTCCTGGGCTCAAGCAATCCTTCCACCTCAGCCTCTTGAGTAGCTGGGAGTATGGGCACATGCCATCGTGTCAGCTAACTTATTTTTATTTTTTTATTTTAATTTTTTTAGTAGAGATGGGAGTCTCACTACGTTGCCCAGGCTGGTCTTGAACTCCTGGGCTCAAGCAATCCTCCTGCTTTGGCCTCCCATGGTGCTAGGATGACAGGAATGATCCACCACGCCTGGCCTGTTTTTATATTTCTTTCATTTCCTACCCCCAGTGTAAGATCCACATGGGCAAGGGGTTTTTTTGTCTGCTTTGTTCATCACTGTATCCCAAGTGCCTGGAACAGCATCTGGCACATAGTATTATTCAATAAATATTTGCTGAATGAGTGAGTGAATACTAAAGAATGAGAAGGAATTAACCAGGAAAAGTGGTTACAGAGGGCAGTGGAAGGAAATGTTCGGGGAGGTGAAACAATATGTATACATGTTTTAACAAACTAAAGGAGAAAAAAAATAACATTTGCTCATCAAACAGATGGCATAAAGTCATTTGATAAAAGTCAACATGCGTTCGTGATAAAGACAACCTCTTAACTTGTTTAACGAACTAAACAAACTTATGAATGTACTTCTTAACTTGATGAAGTGTTATCTACCAGAAACTTAAAGCAAACACCATATGTAATGGTGCAGCATTGGAAACACTGCCACAGTCCAACTATTTTTCTGGTGTCTGGAAGGATCCTGCTCCTCTACCCCTTTAGAAATTAGGCTTGGCCATGGCCCTTGCTTTGAAATGCTAGTGAACAGAAGAATATGTGTTGCTTTAGGGTGGAAGCTTCCAAAGCCAGTGCATAATTCATCTCACTCCTTCCTCCTGCCTTAGTGATCCTGGAAGCAGCTGGCCGTGGAGGTGCAGAGCCTCAATTAGCCTGGATCCCTGAGAAACAACAATAAGGGGACTCCTCCTCAGCCCTATAACTTATGTTGGACATGAAATGTGAATGAGAAATAAATTTCTATTGTGTTAAGCCACTAGATTTTGGGATCGTTTGTTACTGTAATATACCTTGACCTATCCTGAATGTTATATCCAGTGTAGTCAGAAATGAACCAATGCTTCTACTCTTCTGCAATGTACTGGAAGTTACAACTAATGCAATAAAAATTTAAAGACAAGCAAGAGGTTTAAGGATTGGAAAGGAAGAGGCCAAATTGTCATAGCTTCTGGTGATGTGATCATCCACCTGGAAAACTCAATAGCAACAATTGGTGAGGCCAGCGATTCTCCTGCCTTGGCCTCCCAAAGTGCTGGGATTACAGGTGATCCTTGAGTGTTTTGACTGCAACCCATCACATAAGGTTAAGTGTGGAATTTTTCACTGGTGGTGTCATGTCTGTGCTCAAAATATTTCAGATTTTTGAGCATTTTGGATTTTGG